GTTAAAAAACTTTCTCCGATGTGGAGTAATTATATACAAATTCGACACAATTTTATATGACTGAAGTGTAACTTTAATTGTATGGGCAGATAATATTTGGATACATACTTGTGTACAAAATAATATTGTCTATTGATTCAGATGTTAGTGCGTGGATATAATTCTGAACTTCATTGGCTATGTGGGACATTTTCTAGTCTGTTCGCCCTGTTGTGAAAGGTTAGTTAGTCTAAGCAAACTCATTTTCTTTGCAATATTTATTTAGTCGTCGTTCAGAAAATCCTGATTTAAACGAACACACGTTGGAAGTTTTCTGTAGGTTAAAACAACAAGGTTTATTTTATTTTGATTGCCGTTCATGACGGTAAATTAAATAGTTTTGTATGTAAGAAGTAATTTTTCTGCTTTTGGAGAAAAAATGATCAGGCGCTGACTTAAGTAACGCGTTGAAAAATGCATTATATTCTGCAAGCATGATGTCGGGCGATAACTTTACGAACCACTGACGAACATTCAGTCCCAGACACCAACAATTGAACTGTCAGATCGTCCTGCGACATTAAATCGCCCTGGCCCCGTGGGCCCCTCGCTGTACAGCCTGAGATATGATTGTGAATGCGTGCCTAAGATAGTTTTAATTGTGGCTGTTCACACTGTTTAAACGCCCGTGATAGAATCATCTTCATTGATCGTGAAGGGTATCGAACTAGGTCTTGGGGAGGCATGTGAAGAGGTTGCATGTGCATGACGTTTGACAACACTTCCTGAATTTGAATTGACTTGACCTGCTCTAGACGTCATTGAAAGTAGTGAGCTAGAGCGTAAGCTTCCGCGGCCGGAGTCAGAAAGTACTTGGTTGTCCGGTAGTCCCCGTGTGCTAGAAAACGGCGTTTCCGGGATATCCAAGTAGCTAGCAAGAAGTTAACTAATCAGAACGGCCCACATATTTCCTTAATTTGACTTCAGGATTTTTCTAATAGATCACAAACTACTGAGGAAAAGTACCTTTCCAATTACAGAACAAACTAAAACATTTTTGTTTTTAAGTAGTCTCTAGGATAGTAAATAATATAATTTATCAGGTATAAATAACATTGATTAAATAATTGACATATTACAATAAATGTGATTTTTATTAAGCTTTCGTAACAGTTCCCCTGTAATAATAGATGATAAGGTATATAACAAACACCCAAGGTTTCAATAGAACACTCTTGACAACAGAACAATGCTATTTGCTGCCCTTTTTCATCATCCTGACCCTGCTCCTGGAGGCTGTGTCCTTGGGCCCGGTCAGCGCGAACTTCTTCACTCTATCCTTGAGAAGATGACGCAGGATGCATTCGCGGATGTACGTGGGGTCGCGCGTCTGGCAATACGCCGTCAGCGCTCCGACCCTGCTATCCGTCGACGACGCCGACGCCGACCATCGCGCCGAGCCCGACGATGACGACGAGCCCGACGTCACCGACGATCCCGAAGAGAGCGACGTGGCGCTGTCCTCGTGGTGCGCCACACGCTTCTGCATCACACGGATCCCGTGTGGGCGCCTCAGCCCTTTCGGGTAGCCCAATGTCTGCGTGTTTCCGCGTCGTGTCGAAACAACGCGCAGCCCCACCTTGCGCCGGTGCGGCACGGTGTTCAGTTGTTTGCGCCTGGTTCCGGCTCGGACACGTGTCGTAGGACGACGGGACGATCCGGACGGTTGTGCGCGGTCAGTTTTCCAAAGTGAACGGTGCGGCACCCTGCGTGACTTGGATGTTGAACGGCGTTTCCTGTTTTGTGATTGAGATCTTGAACGGTTTAACTTGTGCAGAGAGCTAGATGTTGAATGGTGATTTGCGCGTTTCAACCGCGACATTGAATGACTTCTCGCACGATGCGGATCGGGTGTCGAATGAAGCTCTCGATGCTGCGGTTGGGACAATGAACGAATTCTGGTTCTATTCGACGCTGACGGGACAATTTGTTTTTCACGAAACGACTGGGAAGTCGACCGAGGTTTCCCGCGATGGGAATTAGACTGTGAGCGTTGTTTTCTCTGTTGCGATCTGGATACTGAACGGCGTTTCGCACGCTGTCGGCCGGAAACAGAACGGTGTTTCGCGGGCATGGATCGGGACGTGCTGCGGTTCCGGTCTCTGGACTTGGGGGCTCGTCGCTTGTGGGTCCTCGCAGAATGACGAACTGCCTTCGCAGGCACTGGTTTGGATCGAACCGGCGCAGCACGCCCTTTGTCACCTCTCCTCTCGGCAGTAGATGGCGGCGCAGTACGTGTAGCAGTGACAGTAGAGGGCTTCCGAATGATTCCCGTGCTGCTCTTGGAGGCTGCTTTGTTGCACAACGTGCAGCTGCTTTTGCCCCAAGACAGTGTGGAGGCCCTCTGGCACATGGCGCAATTTGTAGGCGCGTTCCGGGAACACCACGGACATTCTGGTGCAGTCGCTGATTGGATTTTTTTCGTTTTGGTAACAGTTTTATGAGGCTGCGGTAATTCTATCCCAACTGGAAGAGGCGTTGGACTTTCCTTGATTCGCAGGTTCTTGACGATGTTGCAAGTATTTGAAGGCTCCCGTTTGATGCTCTCTACTGAGCTCTGGTTTATCTGCAACAAACATTATGGGTTTTATATTTCTTACCCTGGCTTCAACATTTATCCATCACAAGTAATGCGTATCCACAATAATGAATTAACTAAACGTTTTCAAGATGATTTGAACTATGAAAGGTTTTTAATGATGGTAATGATATTGAGGAGAGACCCTACATGGAACTAATCAGGTAAGTGATGCAAATATTGCCAGTGAAGGTACTATGGTCAAGTAACGGCCATGTTGTTATCTGAAACTGTTTACCGTAGATACTATGTACTAGCAAGCTGTCGGAAGAGCGAAAAAGTGCCTTAGCCCCTTACCAAGGTTGTGGACTCTCACTTTCTCACTCAGGAGCGTCTATTTTTAAGAGCGTTCCGAAGACGCTCTGTCTTTATAACTTCTATCGAGGTCATTTCATCATTAGTGGCACTTGAAGGAGGATTTAGTATTTTGACAGTATACACCAACGTTTAGCACATTTAATGAGCAATGTAATCAGATTAATGTTAAATTTGCTTAATATTTTACTTACCTGGGAGAGGTTTTATAACGTTTTTTGCTGTCAATGTGGCCAAGAATTTAGACCAAACTATTAAAGACACGTAAACTTTCATTTATTCTCAATGGGAATCTGATTATTTTTTTTTAAATTTTTGTAAGTTTTCAAGCAATTACTGATGTTTTCAACTTTTTAAAAGTGTCTCATTGTAGAAACTACTTTTTTTTATGAGTAACCCAGCAATTTTTGCGGTACTGAAATCATAACAGGCCATATTTTTGTAAAATTAGGTTGAAAGAGTGTAATTCATATTGTGTATTAGTATAATTAGCCCTAATTTCATGGCCATGCTACGAGAAATCAGTTAATCTGGCAATGGTCATAAATCCTGCATATGGGAATATTACCTTCACAATAATAATGTTTTTTGAAAACAACAACAAAATATTCCTGAACCCCTTTGTTGTGAAGTAGCTATTTCAGCTTGAAGTAAAAGTGTTAAATTCCATCATGATTATGTTAATTTGACGAAATGTTGAAGTATAACCAAGAAAATTTGAGGTACTTAATGTGGCAATATTACCTTCACATACCTTACTGAAACTATAAGTATAGGCATGATAAATATATTGAGGTACTACAGGTCACAGTTTCTCGTATTATTTAGGAACGGCGAGAGCTAGCGTTGTTTGCAACGAGACGGACGGACAGATGTTTTCCATAAAAAAATGTCGGTATCGAAGTACCACCAAACGTGGATTCTGACTCTACGAGTGGGAGGATGTAATGTACATTACAGAAACAAGATTCATAAACTTGTTAATTTGTAGAACCCGGCAATAAACATTTTAATCTAAGAAATTGACGTTTTCTCTGCAGAATTACTATATTTTCTCAATATTGCAGTATTCAAGAAAGTATAAAATCCGTGTAATTTAAAAGTTTTGTTAATAATCTATACATTGTGGATTATTTCCTGTGTTCATTGTTATGTCGCTGCATATCGTGGTTATATTTTTTAGCAAAATTGCATTTTAAGTAAATTTAATTTATTGAATGAACAGTGTACCTAAATCGTTCATATGATTTGTGTGACAGGCGATGTTTTCCTCGCAGAGTATTACTCGAGCGTTGCAAAAAGAACACCGGTAAACGACGCTACACTCAGCGCAGTTGAAAGACAGCGCAGTGTGCAGTGACGCAGCAGACGGATCCAATCTCCCGGAAAATTTTCTTTTTGTAAAAAACTGAATCTGCTATTTTCTGTGAAATTCAATATAGAATAGGGGTATTTATTGTCTCAGAGCAAACTAACTGTATACTGTATTTTATGACCTGATGCTATTTGTTTGGTTTCTGAATGGGTTTTGTAGAATTAAAGACTTTCATATGCATTTGGTTGATTGATTGATGGATTCTAGCACATTACAATGAAGAGCAATCATGATGTATTTTCTTTGGAAGTGAAGTGGCAAGGGTGACCTCTTCCCACATGATAGTGGTCAGAATGTCTCAGCTCAGAGCAATGCATAATGCAGCACAGATAGAGCGCAATATATAACGTAATGCGTTAACGTTATAAGGTCAGTGTTAATATTCCTGTCGTAACATGTCTATAATAAAATTTTGTGTACCCTTCCAGAACGTTCAAAGTACGAAACATGTTTTGTGAGTATGTACAAAGAGTCATGCTGTAGCTTTCTTATATATTAGTAATAACACTAATAACAAAGAAAGAACAAAAAGAAAAAAGTAAGCATATTGACAACGGAAAGTCGGAATGACAGTGGCAGACAGTGTTGTTTGAGAAATTCACGTACTGATACTCCTCTGAAAGTTGATACTACGCTATTGTGAGTACCACCACACCTCCTTTTTTGCCCACGAACCGCCGCTATTGCGGAGAGTTAAGCGTGTCTTGCCTTGTCGCGGCTGGCGTCGTTCTTCGCAGAGTCATCCAGCCAGTCACGGGTCTTCCCAGTGCCAAAGGCTGCGTCGGGGCACGTGCAGGGGGCGACCTCCACCGGCGAAGGTGTCGGCGTCGGCGTCGGCGTCGGCGTCGGCGGAGTGCGGCTGTGCGCCTCGGCGCTTCGCGGGTCGCAGCCCGTGTCCACCAAGATGGCGCTCTTGCGGGGCGGGGCTGTGGGGCTCCGCGACCTCCCGGTCCAAGGCTTATTTCTGGTCTCGTCTTCGCTTCCTTCCGTCTCCTTTTCATCCCATTCGTACCGCTTCTGGGATGTCTGATATACTACGAGAGAAGCCTCTGGATAGTTACGCAGAGATTTTGAAGGGAGCATAAAATACCTTAAAAATAAGGGATTCACATTATATAGTCATATGCCGCGTGGGATTTGTTAGAAATAAAAAAGATTAAGATTTCAGTCCTCCATAGCTAGACACAGAATGAAGAACAAATATATTAGTAGTACTTAGTTATTTTTATAACATCACTATACACAAAATTAAATATGGCTAGTATTTTAGATGGACTATCTTAACTTTTATCCAAAAGGAAACTATAGAGTCGAAAAGTTTGTTATTCTGTTGATATCCATGAATTCGTAATAACTTTGCACTATTCAAAAGAAAAGTTTCGAGGAATTTTAAAATCAAATTGCAAATATGTATTTATTCTTTTTCACTACTCAGAAAGTGAGAATTAATTATTGTCTTAAAGCCATTGGCTTTTGTAAATTCATAACAATGCTCTTCAAGTCACTAAACTAAAAGATGTGTCATAACAAAGAATACTGCATTTTGGCTAATTTTGTGAAGATATTTTATTATCAGCGCTCAATTAATCAAAACGATTCAATTGAAAGTAACATTTTTATTCACTAACATAACTACGTTGACCCAATGATTTTATATTGCAACTCCCTCATTTAACTGTATGGGTAAAACTTCAATAACTGGCTTAAAATAAAACGATTTTAACTAATACAATTTTATACCTATATATTATTCGTAGCAAATACATAAAATAATCGTACTATTAGTTTTGTGATTAAAGAAATGGCAATTTCGTTCATACGTAGTCACATTGTGCACTTTGACGTTTCATTTTCCGTTACCAGAAGGTTTTAAAATATCGGGGTCTGACTTTAAACTAAGGATCTTCTTGAGAGCTCACATATCCTAGACACTAAAGTCTAGATTGACGCGACAACGCGACCGTTCTAGACCTTTCGAACTTCCACTTTATTCAACATTGAAAATCTAGGTAGAGTGGTCTCTATCTAGGACCTACCTTGGATTGTTCAGTGACAAGATATACTTCGGGTACGTGACGAATCTCTCCCCAGTTCTCGCTCCGGCTGAATAAGCTATCAACGCCACAACGAAATCTAAACCCAACCGGAAACCACCCGAATGACTTCCAGAACTATTATTCCATCCCTCCATATGAATGTGCACTTTTTTCTGTAGCCAAGAAAGTCAGGAAAGCAAGGTTCTTTCTGAGATCCCCTTGTCCGACCACTGACCGGCGACCTTTTCGAAATGTTAACCACCAAATTATTTACTGGTGCCTAGTCCAAAACTCTATACTCTAACAAATTCAATAAACTCCGCGCACGATATGAAGCTCATAATGCACTGTGCTTGACATGTCCTGTCCCCCTGTCCCGTTTCCATATTTTCAAAGCACCCTGTTCAACAGGTCGGAACGTCCCCGCTGTCCTCTGAACTTAATCATTCTGTTACTTTCGGACTGCTCGCAGGGATTAACACATCACACATAGTTGTCTAGATGCCATTCGAATAGCTATGACACTAGTTATCCTAATCTAAGAGGCCCAGTGGGTCGAAATGCGAGTAGTCACCTGTCACATTGCGCGTGTTCCTTGGCGCGTCGGTGTTGGCGGCGGGCTGGCGCTCGTCCTCCGAGACTGAGCCGTCCTCGAAGGCGTCACTCGTGCCTACGCCGCCGTGGCGCAGCGCGCAGTCCGCGCAGATGGGCGGCTTGTGTAAGCGCAGCGCGGTCGCCAGCGCGCGCAGCACGGAGCAGGGCCGCCGCCAGCAACTCTCCCTCCGCCGCGTGCTGCGCAGCGCAACGTTCGCTCACTGCTCTCCAACACTCTCTGCGTACCTCACACGTGCGAGTTAGAGGCGAGTTTATGGTTTTCGCCTTTTTACAGATTCGCATAAAACGGTCTGCAGCCCGTGGAATGCATAAAATACTCTGCCTTGTTTTGCCGAAATATTTCTTACGAACTTCTAAGACGTTTCGAATTCGGGCAATCACCTTACGTTAGCAGACTCCAAATGGCTAACATCAGCATTAGCCAGATGCCTGAAATTATCTGTTCACAATCATAATCTTTGAGGTAGTTAAAGTTGTTTTTCTTATTAAGGTTTACACAGACGTTTCAGGACTAGTACTCTGTATTTGATGTGTCATTTTAACACCCTGAATAAATTAGCCCAGTTTCCTATACCGTCACACCCCAATGGCCTTTAAGTCCGTCGTTGCCCGCACTCCCTTGCCGCTAAGGTCCGTGACGACTTTGAAAGCTTTCACGAGTAGGAAAGACGAAGCAGAGCAATCGCGCACATCGTGAACCCAGTGAATCTTCCAAGTGCCCGCATGCCGTCAAACTAACCTTCGTGTATATCCGTTTGGGACAGGAGAAAGGGAAGAAATGGTTATTTTGTCAGAAAAAGCATGATACTTTGGAAAGCCCAACCAGGTCTCGGCGCACGAAGACACTTTCATCCCTCTGGGGAAATAAGAAACAGCTAACTCTGCAACTCATGGCTAAGTCGATAACAACTATGTTACAAGACCGATCGAAAACATCCATTTACCTTCATTCACACATCTTTATTCAACATCTATGGATAACGTTCTAATTAACCTGAATCGTCTTCTATATTATTTCAGTAGTATACATACCTTTTGTGTCTCTTACACTTAACCTATCTTTATAAATGAGGTCTCTAAAGAAAGAGAATTTTACAGAAAGGTGATGAATTGTACGTTGGCTTTAAAAATGTGAAGGATTTGTTTTAAAAAAAATCTAAATATTCATTAAAAATGCAACCCGCAGTACTCAGTCAGCTATATCGTTAAATAACTCCTAATCAAAGCGTTATAGAGCCTTAAAAACTAACATCTTCAGACTAAAAAAACTTTTCTATCATCTTAATATAAAGGATGAGATATTCTTGAGCATTATGTTAAATTTTTGCTCCTTCGGTACTTATCGATACCACCAATGCCACCTATATTTCATCGCTTGGTGATGGTGGCCATCTTTGAGCTGTCACGCTTAGAAGAATTAGATTTCTCTATCTTATTCTATTTACGCTTTCCGTGTATATTGTTTTGCGTAGAGTGACGAGGTTTATTTTCATAATTATTAATTCAGTCTCGCAGCAATAACTGGAAGTACTTTTAATAGTTACTACATACCGATGAAAATTATTTCCTATGCGTGTAGTGAAAACAGCCTTTTAACATTTTGCCGAGATTTACAAGTGCTGTTTTCCTATTTGTGGAGGTATGTGAGTGTATAGTAAAGTAAGACGTAAATGTCTTGTTAGGTTTGAATTGTGTTTTACCTGTACCAGTATTGTCGTTATCATCAGTGATTCGGTGAAACTTTAAAGTCAACGTGTTCATTCACATAGCATTCTCAAGAGTAAAAAGCATTTTTCATATTTTTGTGACTATCACGAAAAGCGAAAAGCTAACTGTTAAATAATATTGTACAAGAATATGATATATTTTAGCTCGGAATTGCTTTTCTAATTTTTTAAAAGAGACTACTTATTTAAAATGTTAATGAGTTACAATGAACGCAGGGAACAGGAATTCAACAATGTCAGTGCATTGTAGTGCCCAGAAAAATAAACAGCGAAATAAAGAATAATAATAAACAGTGAAATATGGCCATTGTAGCTAGACATACGGTAATTGCTCAATTAAATAAGTGGGCAAGTCATTTCACAACACGGATCTTTGCGTTAGACGGCCAGGTATTCAATCTATGCACCGCGTCGACCCCGCTCCACTTCTCCCCTCCCCGCAAATATGTCTTCTCCCCACCACTTGCACTTTCGGCGTTCTCGCGGCCGGCCGGCTGGCTCGTAAGTGCAAATGCCCGCGGGAGCAGGCGGTGTGCAAGCCTGTAGTAAAATACTGTCATAAGCACTAAAAATGTTCAGAATAGACTTGGACATCGCCTATCTGCTCGCCATTTACTATTTGAGTTTTCAATTTCCGTGTGAGGCAAGAGTTGCACCGGGATGCATCTCGCATTCTGCTTGTTTAACGCGGCAGTCCTCAATAGCACACAGAATGCATCACCGTGGCTCTCTTATTTTCAATAACTCACAAAACTTCTATAAGCGCTGGGGGAGTAATAATGTGTTTTTCTAACAAGCTTGTGGATTCTGCGCCAACTGAATTGCGATACCGCGCTTGGGCGTGAGCGTGGGCGTTACTTTGTTCTGCTCTTGTGAGCGACGAGCGTCTTGCGCGGCCTGTGTGCGTAGACGCTCTCGCTGCTGGGGCTGCCCTCGGCGCTGGGCGCGCAGGTAGACCGCAGCACCGCCAACAGGTCCTCCAAGCTAGTGGGGTTGCGCCGCAAGCAGTGCAGGTCAGGATCTGCACACACGAACGGTAGTTTAATCTTCTACTTTCTGGTATTGGTGGTGTAGAGAAAGTTGTTACTACGAGTATGTTGAAAAAATCGGTCTCAATATTTTAGACGCAATGCCTGTTTTGTGGGTCCCTAATAGCGAAAAATCGTTTTCCTAAAAACGTCTGACTCTCCATTAGTCCGTGTATCCATCAGTCCATGTGCCCATTACTCCGTCTGTCCATTAGGGCGTATGTCCGATAGTCCGTCTGTCCGTTCATGAGCAACAGAAGCACTATATCTTTTACAGAATGTTTTCTAAAATTGACATTCTTTAATCCCTCTGATTGCATTCCAGATCAATGGAATTGAAACGTTTATTTTTATTTTGAGATGTAATAAGCATATTGTCAAAATTACATCGAATCATTTCTTTAATTTTTTCCACGATGTCCTCTTGTAAAAATGGCACAGATTAGATTTACATTAAAATTGCAACTCATCTACAAATACAATGAAAGCAAATTTTAAAATATCTTATTCTTCTTAAGTTGAAGACAATTGTTCAAGTGAAGGCTGAAGAATTAATAGGATTTTCCCCGCAACATTGTATATTTAAAACACCAAGGGGTTTCGTTTAGGAAGTTTTTGAAATTTTAACGCCGCAGAATTTCGTTATTCGCTTCAGTAATGGGCCCTAGTCATGTTGTCTTTTTCTTTAAAAAACACACGTGTTAATATATTAAAATTAATAGAATAAAAGTTAATCTGCCGTTATTTGTAATACGACGTGTTCAAGGCCAACTAAACTGCTATTTCAATGTAATTGTCTTTGGTCGTTTTGATATGCAAGTTGCAATTGATCCATTAAAAGCCGACTTTAAAGAGATCAATTGGGATTTTGATAAAACCATGTTCAGACGCTAGAGTTGTTCATTGACAGACGGCGGACAAACAGTCGCTTTGCCATAAACCAATTTTTCGGTTGCATAGGCTCACAAAACCTGGATTTTACTAATTAGCATGTTAACGGATGTAATTTACTATATATAGGAACAAGTATTATCCCCTTTCTTATTATCAAAGACACATAAAACGAGTTTTTCTCTAAAGAAGTGGACATTTTTGCTGCATAGTACTTCCTCTACCCTACATAAGAAGTTCTTGTATGCACGAAATTAATGTCTTCCTGTAAAAAGATATGCTTAAAAAAGTCGTTAAGTATTAGAGACGTCAATATTATTATCAGTTAATTCAATTATATGTTAGGTGTTGACTTATTAATGCCTGGGCATATCTAATATTAGGTGGAAGATACGAAATCTTGTGATCCCTAGCGTCTCTTTTAGGGGAAGTGAATAGGAAAGAAAAATGTGGCGCAATGTGTTCCTGACTTCAAAATAAATGTCACTGTTCCGTGAAAATCTCTACTTGTTACTACTTGTTACCACCATTCACGGGTTACACTTTGTGTCTTAATTTCACTTGTTTTTCAGAATTTTACTTTCTCGCTTTACTTCGTATGGAAAGAAAATGTTGTAGTCGTGCGCCGCAGAACGGCAATTTTTCGACAGAAAAATTCTTATTGATAGACCCTGGTAAGAAAAAAGTGGATAAATCTTGTTCCTATATGTGGTGAATTATTTTCACTAATATTTGTGTCATAATACAAGTTTCGTGGGTCCCTGATATCGAAAAAATTATTGATTAGAAAACACTTGTGTACGTCTGTGGTCAATGCTAGCACCTAAACCATTCATGTGATGTTCTCCAAAGTTGATATTTCCCAATCCATTTAAACGAACAGGTCATTCAAGTTTGAATCGGATATTTTGATTTTTTAGAATACTTTACATGAAGCTTCAATCATTGTCGAAATATTCTGAAAAACTGGCTCCAAATTTTTTGAATGAATTTTCTCCTCGGAAATCGTAGACAAGACGTAAAAACGAATGCGGTGGAGTCACTGATTGTTCAGAATTTTCAAAAGTTCAAAAAGTATTCGGCTATTTTCTAGAAGAGTAATATTGCATAATTCTGTTCTTCAAAGACAGATCTTGAACAAGACAATTTTTCGAAAATATGAGTAGTTAAATGTAATTTTGCGTGAACTTTTTTAATTTGGCAATTTTAAACAATTTCTTTCTGAAAAACCGCTCCAAGTGGTTTCTAAAAATAATTATCCTTGTATGTATGTGTGTAAGAACGGTGAAACAATTTGTACTAGTCATTTCTGGTGGACACTGTGTTTTAGAAAGTGACAAAATGTTAACATGTAAAACCTTCAAATTTTAAGAGTTGTAAATGAAATCTGTTCTAAAAAAATAGACCTTTAATGAACGTCATTTATAATATTTTGAAAAAACAGAACTTTTCGAATAATTTCTTCTTGAAATTAAATCAAATAATAAAAAAACATTTTCTCACAAACCGTTTCAAAAGTGTACTTTAATTATTTTCCGCTTAAACGCCGGGGCGCTTAAACGAATGGTGGAGATCTCATTTTTGTCGAACTCTTTGAACTTTAGGAAATTATAAAAGTTAGAATTAATGTATAAAATATGTTTATGATAAGATATATGATATAATGTATGATAAAATATGTGTCGTTATAGCACCTCTAGTTTACTCTTTTGTCGTGTGGGAACAATAGAGAAATCAGAAATCAACGAAGGATAAGAGCTCAATAGTAAGATAGCAATGGTCTCGTCTACCGGCCATTGTTTCATGTTATACCGTGGTATCGTTCACCCGTATTTGAGCAGAAAACATGCAAATGAAACGACCCATTTAAGAAGTCACCCTAACTCTGAAATTTACGTGTTGTCGGCACTCTAGGACTAGGCAGTCTGCGACCAATCAGTAGTGGATTCGCATCTGCATCTTTCAGTATCTACGCTAAGGAACCTAACGTTAATCAATTCTGTCAATTCATCATCCCACCTTTTCGCAACATTGAGCGCTGCATTGAAACTACCTTGTTTGCGCAGATTTGACTTCGGAACTGTACCTAGGTAACTAACATCTGGACACTATACCTTGATCGCTGACATACTGCTGTTCCATGGCAATCGAGTCGAGAGGTATCATGGTCGTATGATTGACCGTCATCGTCGATATGGTTATTGGGATCGATGCGAGCGTCGCTGTCGAAGCCACGTCTTTCGACTTCGACGGCGCAAACGTCAGCGTGACCCCCAGCGGTGTTGACGCAGTGTCAACCGTTGCAAGTGGGCTCTGACTCCCCTGTGAGGTGGATTTGGTCGTCGCCTGTGCTTCAAATTGCAGATTCGAAGGCGGTGCATATGTTTTGTCTGAATTGTTCATATTAAGGGAAGGATGTTGTGAGAGTAGAGAGGGATCAATGCATCTGTTTTTCAGAATTGTTGAAAAAACAGGAGTGCTGACCACACTGTCTGTCGCTGAGAGGTCAAAGTGACATTTGACGGCGTCTTTGGAGGACGGTGTATCCGACATCTGGAAATGAAGATACAATAAGCCAATATAAGAATCCTATTCATTTTTCTTATTTTTTTAAATTCCTTTGCAGGACAAATCATGAATAAAGAAAATATTCATAAATATTTTCTAAAACATATTTGTAAAAAGAGAGTGAAAGCATTTCAACCACTTTAATCTTCGCATGCTCGTGCTCAAGTAATTTAGTCGTAACAGCCTGTACTAACTTACTGCTCATCTTGTTTTCACTTGATGCTAGTTTTACGGCTTCGTACCTCCTTTTTGACTGCACCTCCGTTACCGACGAGTGGTAGAGAACAGTCAAGCACAAGATGTCCTTTCTTGTTAACGTGCCATTGGCGTATTTTTAGGAACTGAGACTTTGCACCGTCAGGTAATGAGATGGCAACACGAGACAGACGATCTTGCATCATCCCCGAAATTATGTTAGTCTTTCCATCTTTTCCCTTCAATTCGATACTTTCACTATCTCTTTCCTTCACCTCTATCTCTTGCGACACCGTCTTATTTATGATTTCTTCTTTCGCATTTGGTTTTACCGCTTCCTGAATATCTTCCATCTTCTTCTCCATTTCTTTCTGCATCATAAGCGGAGAAACAAATATTATTCATTAACAAGAGAAGACATAATTCAAATAGATTAAATACAGATGTGTTTTGAAAAATCAATAGTAGGCGTGGTTTGTGCACAATGAACAAGTATCTTTTTAATTTTTGACATTCTACCACATTCGCAGTGTAGAGAATGTATTGTAATGCTGCGAGAGAAAACGTCGATTTTTACACAAGAAAAGTCTTATTACCGGTCACTGGTAACAAAAAAGTGAATACAAATGCTGTTTGATAAGTTTGGTAAAAATGGAACCAAAAATTATTTTTCGGCGGAAAAACATCTCTTCATATCTCAAAATAGTCTCCTTGTAGGTTTGTGCATTTGGCCGAGAGTGTTTTTATCCCATTGGAGATATGTTTTTTCAAACTCAGAAAAATGGTTACAGCAGCAATTACTTCCTCATTGATGAAAACGTCTGCCCACGAAGCTAAATTTTTAAGTTTGGAAATAGAACTGTCATTCGAGGCTAAATCCAGTGAGTATGCTGGATAAAAGACCAATTCGAATCATTACTGATGCAAATTTTGTCATTGTGACTGCTGTGTGTGGGATGGTGAGTTGTCTTGATGTAACAATACTTCCTTGTACGCGAATCTTGGCCGTTTTTCAATCAGCAATCCAATAATGCAGCGTAATGGACACCAGTTATGGTTCTGCCATTTTCCAAATAACACAGCCACACACACACACACACACACACACACACACACACACACACACAAATTTGTCAGAATCAAAGATTTAACTCATTTTTCTCTATATTTTTCGAAGCGCTGAATCCGAATCTAAATCCGAATTGTCCCACCACCTTCCATCTTTTACATCGCA